CAACGACAGAGCCCCTCCATTTCAATCCAGGCTATGTTGGTTAGCTCAAATCGTGCCCCTATGTGTGTGTGCTCAAATGGTGTTAATCTGTGTTTCCTTCTCCCTAACCAACTGGCCGAGAGAGAGAGAGAGAGGTTTGGTTTTCAAGTCATTCCGAGACCAAGCCGAGTGGTGTTGCTGGGTTGTCTCCCAGAGAGAGAGGTCTGTTGTGTGTGTAATGAGTGTGTTTTGCAGATGAAACTTCCGCTCCCTCTCAATCCTCTCTCCTAGAAAATTCTCTCTCAGAAAATATCACTCCTCTCCCCCTTACTCATGAACGCCCTCTCCTCCTTTTTCAATCTTAGATTATCCTCCCCTCCAATAATACACCACCCACCCCCTCTTTATATAGCAAAAATATAGAACATATAATAATATATAATAGAATATAAATAATATAGCTAAATATAATACTATTATAATATATAATAGATTTATCTTTGCTGGCCTCCCACCCTTCAGTGACCTCCCCGGTGATAAAACAGAGGTACCTGCCAAAAATGAGCGAAAACCGTTGCAAAACGAATGCTCGGGGACCAAAACTTTTCTGATGATATGCAAGCATGCTAATGGAATTTCAGCACTAAAATATGGGGGAAAACAGTTCTGAAATGAGGCGAAATGACATGAAATGCATGGAATTGTCCCGAAATGCGAATTTAGGCACCCGAAATGGCCTATAGCTATGCCAAACATGCACAATATGGACATGTAATGCAAAGACAGAAGCTAGACAGTCCCGAAAAAGGCACTTTCACAGTTACAAACATGGCCAAACAGGAAGCATAGGTATGGCAAAAATAGCATGCAAGAATAGGGGCCAAGAGAGGGGTAATGAAGCAAGTGATATAAGAAAAACCCAAACTGAAAAATTTCCTTCTACAACATTGAAGAGGGACCAAAAATATGAATATTTACAGTATATGGCAGCCTCAAAATCAGTATACAAACATGATAGAAATGTGATGCAAAATAAGGCTCAAAAGTGGCTATAACATGAGGTATACAAAATAATCACCAAACAGCCAAAGACCCTTAATAAAACATGTAGAATAGGCCAAAATAAGCACTTTTCCAGAACTGTAAAATGGCCAAAAACAAAAGCATGGTAGGCTAACTAAACACGCAAGAATGGGGAATAAAAGAGAGATATAACATGAAGTGACCTATGGAAGCCCCAAACCATGAAAGGACCTAAATGAAACATGAAGAATGGACCAAAATAAGCACTTTTTCAGAACTGTAAAATGGCCAAAAACAAAAGCATGGTAGGCTTCCATTGCATGCAAAAATGGGACCAAAAGGGGAGTATAAAGGCAAGTATAACATGGAGGTCCCAAAAAGTGTTGATCCCTTCTTCAATATTGAAGAGAGGCTCAAAATAAGCCTATTTACAGTTTATGTTATGCTCCAAAACAGATTACACACGAGCTAAAAAAATCATGCAAGAAAACGGTATTTACGAAGGGTATTGAAGCAAGTGGCATATGGAGGGCTCAAACAGGGTTGAGCACTTAATGAAAAGTGAAGATGAGCTCAAAAGAGGGCCCAGCTCAAAATATGGCCACTTTCAGTTTTGGTCGGAGCTCAAATGTATAAGAAGGAGAGGCTAAGAAATATTGCAAAGAAAAGCTCAAAAAAGAGAAAATGGCAACTCACCTTTGGAGACAAGTCTTTTCTTGCTTCTTGGACCAATTTGCAGCTCCTTTAGCCTTTGAGAAGCCCTCCTTGTTGTTGGAAATGAAATGGTGATGGTAGAGCTTGGAGGTGATGAAGAAAACAAGGTGTAGGACTTAAGGTTTTTTAGGAAAATGAGAAAGATGGAGGGAGATATGGATCTTGAGGCTTGAAGAACAATTTTTCCAACCCCCAAATGTGATGCCACCAGCTGGTTATATGGACAAAAAGAGGGTGTAAAGGTGGGGCAAAAAGGAGGTAAGCTTTCCCCCACAAAATATCCCCCGGATTCAGAAAATATCTGGGGGAAACAGCTGCACAGCTGTAAAGTGCAAGTTGAGAGGAAGCAGGCCGGTCCTTACTTTTTGCTGCAGGTGGCCGGCCGGCCACCCCCCTAGCCGGCCCGAGCTAGGGGTCAAAAGGGTCCAACTTGAAATAGTGGTTCGGCCACCACTATTGGTGGCCTCCCAGGTCTCCTCTTCACAACCCTGTGGTTCGAATTTGGAAATTCTAAAACAGGAGAGAGAACAAGCCAATTTTAGGAGGGGTTAGAAAGGGTCAAATTGAATTAATGGCCGGCCACCACTTTTTAGGATCCTCCCAAGTGTGTACATCACAAATATGTGGTTTGGGTTTGAAGACAATGGCTCCAAGGTGTTCAACATTGGCCCGGAAGTGCGAAAAACAGGCGTCGGAGGGCGCCGGAGGAGTAAAAAATTGTTGAAACAATTACTGGCCTCCCACCCTTCCATGACCTTCCTAGTGATGAAACAGAGGTACCTGCCAAAAACGAATGAAAACCGATGCAAAACGAATGTTCGGGGGCCAAAACACGCAGTTCGGGGCCCCGGAAACTGCCCATTAAACACCGAAAGTAGCGTTCGGCCACGAAGTGGGTTTCTCAGACCCCAGTGTCCCTCAAAAGGGAGAAAATAAGATGTATGCCAAAAATCAGAGCAAATGGAGATGGTTAAGCGGTCCCGAACTGGGGCTCATGGCCAACGGTCCCGAAAAATCGAAAACCGGACTCCGAAATGGGCAAAATGGTGTGCGGCCACAAAATGTAGCCCACGGCCACTGAGAGATGGTCTACGGGACCTCTCCCTCCCCTCGGGAAGAGAAACAGAGAAAACCGAGTCTGGTTCGCAAACCGAGACAAGGCACAGAAGAGGGTTCGGAAATCCGGAGGCGGGGCTCGTAGCCAAGACTCTTAAACTTCTGAACGAGCACATTATGCAACATCACCAAGCGCTCAATCGGTGACGTCTGAGTCTTAAGGTCGGTCAAAAATGGCAGAGGGCCGAAGAGAGGCAGTGCTGATCAGACTTGAAGCATATCAGCAACAGCTCATCAGAAGTTTCAACCAAAAAGTTTTCCCAAGGTAATTTATACCAGGAGAATTGGTTTTGAGGATAGTCATGGATCACAAACAGGTGCCTGGTGAGGGCAAACTTGGGCTGAACTGGGAAGGTCCCTATAAAATCACAGTCGTTAGAAATGGAGCTTACTACCTAGAGGATCTGAATGGCAAAGCAATACCTCGGCCCTAGAACGTAGCAAACCTCAAGAAATACTATCAATAGAATCATCCCCTAACTTCTCTATCAAGATGTAAAGACACTTATTTGTTGACCAATGGAAATGTTTTCCCACTCCTCTCAGATTTATCCAATTCTTGTAATTAGCTTTGATGTTTATCAAATGGAATTAGCTTTGGTTCTTACCAAACGGAATCGGCTTTGGTTCTTACCAAACGGAATCAGCTTTGGTTCTTACCAAATAGAATTAGCTTTGGTCTTTACCAAACGGAATTAGCTTTGATGTTTGTCAAACGGAATTAATTTTGGTTTTAACCTAAATGGCTCAATTTCAGAACGACTGACCGGAATTTAAATTTGGTTAGCACTCAAACATGCTAAGTGGTATAGCTTGGTGGAAAAATGTTTGGCAACTAAATTGGAATTTAGCCAAGTGGAATTGCTTGGTGGAAACCGCACTAATGTATCTTAAGTAAAATATCTCTATTTAGCCAAGTGGAATTGCTTGGTGGAAACTACACTGACATATCTTAAGCACACATCTTTGCACCTATAGAACTTCTTAAGTATCAGCACATCAACACTTCAGTATTGATTCAAACCAGCAGAGTTGGAACAAACTCAACTAAGCTACGTCAAGAGCAAACTTCTAGCATCAGCCTTACTCAGTTCCAGCTGGGGGCAAACAATTGTTTTTTTTAAAACCCACCTGGACCTGAGTAAGACATCCCTCTTTGCATTTCTCTCATTCAAATGCACTTGTACTATCAAAGTTGAAACAGACTCAAGCAGTTCTATACAAGGGACAACTCTTCAGTTTTGATCTTACTTAGCTCCAAGTGGGGGCAAACAATTGTTTTCTTTTGAAACCAACCTGGACCTAAGTAAGACCCACTTACGAACTCAAAGCACAGCCATACCACATATCCGTTAGCCACGCCGATCACTAGTTCGGCCCCGAGGTCCCAACAGTGCTCGGCCGGGGCAAATAGTGCAGTGCCACACCGAGCATCAGTCCGGCCCCAAGGCCCTAACAGCGCTCGGCCGGGGGCAAACAGTACAGAAATCAAACAGAGCATCTATTTAAAGACAGTATAGAATCAGACCGAGCACCTATTCGGCCCAAGGGTCCCAACAGAGCTCGGCCGGGGGCAAGCAGTATAGAATACATTTAGACATAAAAGCCAAACAGCATCAAATTGCAAGTTCAAAAAGAAAATTATATCATCCAGTAAAGGGCACAGAAGGCCTCATAACTAGCAGCAAAAAAAAAAAAAAAAAGGAAAAATTGTCTTGATAAAGGGAAGAAAAAAAACCAATCATGGAAACCTTGACTTGGTGAAATAATTCTCAATTTTTTATTAACAGAACAAACGATTATGACATACATTAGATATTAAGGGCATTAACTTGTCTAACCAATAGGTAGGGTAGCTTAATTACATTCCTCTGTACTTCCAAAATACTAAGAAAATAAAAAAACTTGCTAAGAGATTTGATGTCTCTGATAAGAGTTGCAATATTCCAGTCTGCAGCTCCCTCGTCACTGAGAACATCAACCAAAACCTGGCTATCAGTGAAGATGGACATACATGCTATTTGGTTTTCCACAGTCCATTGAACAGCATCCAAGCAGTCCTTTGCTTCTGCGAGTAGCGGTGAGGATAGATGAAGACAAGTAGCTTTATCTGTTACCTTTTCTTGGTCCATGTTGAAGCAGACTCACACAAAACCAGCATTGCAGTCATCTGCCCTCCATGAGAAATCAATGACAAAAGTCCACAGCCGATAATCTGATGCATCAGATATGGAATTCACAAGGATGCAGCTAGTTCTATCCTGATCTATCTTGTCAGTTAAGACTTTAATTTTTTGTGACAAACTTGAGGAATGCCATCGATTAACATTACAGGTCAAATCTTGTGTTAGTGCAATTGCTTGGGAAAAGATAATTTGATTGCCTCTGAAAACAAAACTACTTTGTTGCTTCCATATGGCCCAAAGAATGGCCATTGATTGAATAATTAATTCTTCCTCTCTCACCATTTTAACCCATTGTTTAAATCAGGTCAGAGGATCCCCTCTAGTGAAATCCAGAACCAAAGAAGATCCACGCCATATCCTTTGAGACTGGCGGCATGGGAAGAAAACATGCTCCAAAGTTTGTGCCTGCTTCCCACAACATGGGCTTACTGGGTCAATGAAGACATTTCAAAGGAAAAGACTGATTCCATAACCATTTCCAAAAGGAGTCAATGCTCTTGTGGGATGGTCTAGGATATGCTAATCCAACTGCATATAAATATCTAGTTTTGACAGTATATTCAGAAGACTTGCTAGGACCCCAAACAATTCTATCTTTACATGGCTCCACAGACACGTGTATGACTGATGAATAATGCAGTCAGCCGGAAAGAACAGGCTTGACAAGTCCATTCTCCAGCAATGGTTTTGAGCATCAATGAAGTGGGATAAAGATAAGGACGAAAAATAGTTCAATAGACCCTTTCCACTTTAATGGATTAAGTAGAGAGGGAATCCATCGATCCTCCAAAGGGTTAATCGATTTGCCATCCCCACTATCCATAGTAAACCATGTTAAAGGTTGGCTCTGATTCACTTTGTCAATAATAGCTGCTAATTGAAGACAAATGAAGAAGCTGGAGATTTGGGCTAAAGATTCAGCCGAACTACTCCATGGTAGAGTGGCTAATCTTCAAATCCTGTTGGTGGCTATCATAAATGTTGTTGGTGGCTTGTTGAAAACTTCGGCTCTCCCATTGCATCTATAAATGGTTAGTAAATAAGAGAGGTTCTAATGTGGCAATCAGAAGATAGTGTAAGCAGAGTATAAGCAACTGAGTGAGTGTGAGAAGAGCGAGAGTATTGTCTCCGCCTCCTCCATTGTTGTAATCTATGTATTTCTCTCCATACAGTGAAATCCGCTGCCCATGGACATAGGCGCATTGCCGAACCACATAAACCTTGTGTTCCTCTTTTCTCTGTGTGTGTGTGTTTGGTGTTTGGTGTTTGGTGTTTGGTGTTTGTTGTTTGTCTCGATTCATGTTTTGAGTCGTTGTGAGTGTCAATAGTTCTATTGTTTTTACCTTTGTTTTCCCTTTGTTGAGTCATTTTGACTATGGTCAGTCGTAGGCTCAATACTCGGTTAAAAACTCATTTCTCAATTTCAATTTCAAATTGTTTTGCACTCAGAGTGCTATGCCATTCTCCATATTTGTACAAAACAGGATTTGTTCTTTTGTAAAACTGTAGGGTTCAACCCAGGTCATGTGAGAACAGTAAAATCAGAACCTATCTGAAGCTATATGGGTTCCAGACTGCAAAGCAAAAGAAAAGAGGGAAAATTTGGAGCATCTGAGTTTGTTTCACCTTCATGAAGTTTCGAGATTGCATTCGGGGTGTACCCCTTCAGGCCTGGTCAATGCTTCAAAGTATGAGTGTGCCTCTACCTCAAGCTCAAGATCAATTTTGCTTCAAGCCAGAATGGCGATCAGAAATGCTCTCCCTTAGTACCTTTCCCTGCCAGAGGCATCTTGGCTATGTTCGCAATGAATTCCTAGGAGACCAACTGCGACGGTGGAAACTAGAGTTCGAATGGCTATTGCCGCTTCCGCTGTTTTTTTAAAGGCATGTGGTAAAGCCTCTTATTTTATGGCCAACAAACCCTCTGAGACAACCAAAGTTGCTTTCTGGGAGCAAAAAGATGTACAAATCATGACCTGGTTGTGGAATAGTTTGGCACCAGAGGTTTTTACTAATGTTTCTTGTCTGGAATCCTTTAAAGATATTTGGGATATTCTTAAGAAGTTATATTCCTCTGAGCAGAATCTTTCTCGCATCTACCAACTCTATTAGGGCATCTTTTCTTTTCAGCAAGGTGATCGTTCTGAAGAGTACTTTTCTATCCTTAAGGGTAACTTCATTCATTTATGCTCTTGAGCGAAGAAACAGATCATCTAGTATTTTTTTACAGAGTGCCTGAACTTCTGGGAAGAAAGTTTTACCACTTGAGTGGTGAAAGTTCCACTCAAGCGATCAGTCTATATGTTTCGCACCGCCTTTAGTCACACCAGTCAAGCAGTGAAATGTGCGCTCGAATAGTCTGCGTGATCTTGTTTTCTATAAAGTGCCCTATTCGCTGTTTCTAGGGTTTGAGCCATCCAAATTTTTAGAGAGGAACAATATACAAAGTGTTTTATATTGGAGGGTGCTTTATGAGTGTTTCCTTGATGATTTAAAAGTGATCAATGGATCCGCGAACTTCATATCAATATCATCAAGGGTTTGTTTATTTTTCTTTATTCACAAAAGCGATAGTTATTCTTCGGTGGATTCTAGAGAACTTGGACCTAAAGCTTTAGTGGATTTAAGAGTGGTTCATCGTTGTAGATTCGACATTGGCATTGTGGATTCAACATTAGGCAAAATAATTCCAAGGTGAAAACGGTGGTGGAAGAGACATGTAGGGGTCAGTTCAATTCAAGCGTGGATTCGCTAGGTAATTGAGAGTACACTTGTGAAATTCGTTTTTGCCTTCTTAGTGGATTATTTTGTGGCTTTGGCCCGTGGTTTTTTATCACAATTTTTCCATGTTAAATCATTGGTCAATTTGCCTTTGATTGTTTGATTGAGATTGTTATTTACTATTTAAAATTGATACATAATCACAAATCAATATCTCGGGGTTTTTAGATTTTTCAAAACCTAAATTGACAGCCAAATGAAATTCAAACCCAAACCTCCAAATCAAACCCAAATTCGCAAAATCGAACCTAGCAATATGAATCTATCCAAAATATGAGATAGAGAGAAAAGCACCGACAAAGCGATTCTTCAAATGTAGAAGTAATACTCTGTCACCGACAAGAATGAGAGCGTGAGAGAGATAAAAAAAAGAGATTGAGGTAGTAGTTGGCGGCCGTTGTGGAAAGTGGTGAGAGAGTCGGTGGTGGTGCTGTAGTTTGGTGTCTAGTTTGATGGTTAAGTGCCTGGTTTAGGTTGCATTTGGTTTAGTTTTGGAATTGTGATTCTTTTTTTTTTTTTTTGAGTTGTGATTTGAGTGTAGAATTGTGAGTTAAGTTTCGAAAAAAGAAAATTTGTTTGGTTATGAGTTTTGAAAACTGTTTTGAAAGGAATTTTTGAATTTTAAATTTTGAAAAGAGTAGATTGGGTCTATCTGGTCGTCTGCCAGGACATTTTTTAAAAATAGAGTTTTGAAAAGAGTTTGCCTATGAGTTTTGAAAAAAAAAATAAAAAGAATTTTGAATTGAGTGTTTCGTTATGAATTTTGAAAAAAAAAATTAAATTTTTTTTGATTTAAAAATAAAACCTAACAAGGACATTTAGCCACCCTCATTTTGATATCTCTATCTACTTTTGATACATCATGACTTTTGTATTTTTGTTTTTGTTTTGCTAGGTCTGATTCACAATTTTTCAAATAATTTTATAGCCACTTGATCCCCACCTTATCACCAAGATGTGCTCTACATGAGTTGTGTGGAAATGTGGTCGATGGCTATTGGGCAGTTGATTTTTAAATCAAAATTTGTAGAAAGAAAAGTCAAAATCTACTAAGTAGTTCGGTATAATTAAAAAATGATGGGGGAAACTTCTTCAGAAAATTACAAATCAAGGTAATTTTAAAAAATAATTACATATGAAAAAAATATGGCAATTTTTCCAATAATTTTGCGGCTAGTTGATTGTAACTGAGTTGTGGGTATGTCTTCAAAGGAGATGCAGACATTTCTGAGATGGGACTGAAGTGCCCACCTTATCACCAAGATGTGGTCTATATTAGTTGCATGGAGATGTGGTCGATGGCTAATTGAGTGGCTGCTTTTTAAGTTTAAGTCTGTCGAAATAAAAGTCAAAGTATACTGAGTGGTTTAGTATTATTAGAAAATGATGGGAGACACTTCTTGTGAAAATTACAAATCAAGGTAATTTCTTACAAAATAATTACATATGAAAAAATATGGTAATTTTTTCAATAATTTTACAGCTAGCTAATTGGTGAGTCTTCAAAGGAAATGCAAACATTTCAAAGGCGGGACTAAAGTCCCCACCTTATCACCAAGATGTGCTCTATATGAGTTGCGTGCAAATATGGTCGATGGCTAGGGGTGTAAAAATGGCCCGAGGCCTGTGGGCGGCCCGAAACTCACTCGAGACCCGAGGTGGGCCCGACCCATTTCGGCCCAGTTGAACTTCTATACACTGGTCATTCATTTGGTGTAGAAAGAAATGTATTATATGAGTGGGTTTTACAAAATCAAATATTTACGATTAGTTTAGATAATGCAGCATATTATAATCAAACTGTAGCCCATTTAAAATCAACTTTACAATTTTTTGTTGATAGTGATTTATTTCATGTTCGTTATTGTGACCATATTTTAAATTTGATTGTTAAAGAAGCTATGCATGTATACGAGACTTCCGTACTTGTAATAAAAAAAAATGCAATTGTTACTATTATGTTTTCTCCTAATCAAATTTCGGAATATAGAAAATTTCGTCAATGAGAAAATATGCCATTTAAAAAATTAATTTTAGATGTAGATAGTAGGTGGAATTCAATATATAATATGTTAAAAATAGCTTGTAAACAAAGCAGAGTAATAGATTTATTTTTTTGCAACAACATCAATAGGAGAAGTACCAAATCCCATAGAACTTAATTGGCGCTAAGTAGCCTTGTATAAAGTTTTTTTAGAAGTTTTTGATATTTCAACAAAATTATTTTCTTATATATATTCCGACTTTACTATTTGCTTTACATATGCTAGCAGAAATAATTAAAATTTTCGTAAAATATATGGGTAATGAATATTATGTAACCATTATTACTTCAATGAAAGCAAAATTTAATAAATATTTTGATCATTTGCCTCATCTATTAAGTTTAGCCATAATAATTGATCCTAGGTGTAAAAAAATTGGTTTACAAGAATTTTTAGAACGTCATTTCGTTGATCAAACACAGTTTGCCCCTATTATGCAAACATGCAACAGATTATTTGAACAATACATAGCAGCTACATCTATAAATACACCTACACACACTACACTAGCAATCTCATCTCAAGGCTAGAGATTAAGTGTTTTTTTAGCAATAAAAAGTAGAAGAATATCTCAATATACAAGTGTAAGTAGTTCTGAACTACAACGTTATTTGGAAAGCTCGTCAGTGGATGGTTCCGATGATTTTGACATTTTGGAATAGTGGAAAGAAAATGAAACTATGTGGCCTGTGGTTTCACAGATGGCCCGTGATAGACTAACCATTCTTATTTCTACAGTTGTTTCGAAAACAGCTTTTAGGGCAGGTAGACGGGTGTTGAGCGATTACCGGAGCAGGCTTTCACCCCAAATGATTGAGGCACTGATGATATCAAGAGATCATATGCATGCGCTTACAAGAAGACAAAATTATAGTGAAAATAAGCAAATTCAAAATGATTTGGAGGACATATCCTCGGGCAACTCGACTGAAATGCCTATCTCCTCCGATGATTGATAGCGATTATGGTTTAGACTCGACCCATTTTGCATCTTGGGCTCGGGTTTCATAGTTTCATATTGTTGTTCATGTCTTACTTCCCTTATACTTCCTTGAGTTTGGCTATTGGATTGTAGTGGTTGCGTTTGGAATAGGTTGGTTGTTTGAATCTTAAACTTTTGTTGCCCAGAACTTTACTCCTCCACTCGAGCATCACTTTTTGCGCTCAAGCGGGCTTTGAAAACTCTCAGTACTTTTGCAGGTCTGCAAAACTACTGGGAGAGTGTGTTCTACGCTCGAGCGGTCTAGGCTCGAGCGACCTTTCTTGCACTTGAGTGTTGGTCTACTGTCTGCAAAGCTACTAGATGTGTGCATTCTACACTCGAGCGTCACTTTTTGTGCTCGAGCGGATTAACTTATTTTGTCTAGCGCTCAAGCGTCACTTCTCACGCTCGAGCGAACTGTGTAT